AGGTACAGTGACAATTTCACAGAGACCTGACCAGATTCAGATTATTTTCCAACTGCTTACAGACAAGACACTGGCGTCTTTCTTTCTCAGCATCCTTCCTCCAGCCTTTACTAAAAGGCAAATCACTGATTTATATACCCTGGCCAAAGCCCTTCCAAAATATTTAATTTTTTTTTGTCAGGAATTGCCACAAATCATAGCTCAATGCTGCCAGACAAACTGGGTAGAAAGAGTAGATCATTAAGTAATTGACTAAATAAGAGAGAGCCACTTTCTGTAAACAAACTCTATTAATCAGTACTCAGGATGATAGATTTGGTCCCAAGTTACTTACTACTTGCTGCTTTGTGACTGTAGTGACATGTTTTTAACAGCATCTCTACAAATGCGTTTATTTTTGTAGTTCTGGGCCTGGTTAAACCAAAATACAGTGAAATGTTAAAAATGTGATAAAAAATTAAAGTAATGGAAAGGAGCTGAAGGTTTGTTAAAGGGGATGCAGTACCTGACTAAGCTGGCTCAATCATTGTCAGCTCTAATTCAACAGTAATTAACACAGCTCAGCACATTGAGCGGTATATTAGCAGAGCTATATCAACTATTCCGGCCAAGTTAATCTATAGGATAGAAAATAATGAGGCTCTTTAGGTTTAGTTCACTAAACAGTACACAGAAAAGCACCTCATCTTCCCAGTATCAACGTGCAAGAAAAAAGCCTCACACAAAGCAGCGAGCACAAGCTCCTGCAATGCACCGTGCTGCCTGTCACCTCTGTGCTGCTCTTGGTGTGACACCTGCCCTTAGGATGAAGTGTGCACTCAGGAACAATGGGATCTGAATCACCATTGCATCTTTATAAGTCTGTGTGCATGCAGGAGACTAAAGCCAGAAAAAAACCATAATTCCTCCTGACAGATGTACACAGCATCAGACGTCTCTTAACGGAGTACCATGTAGAGAAAATACTAGAGCATCTGCAAGCTGCTCTGCTTTTCAGGCAGAAAGCACAGTCCATGGCAGCCTACATCCTCACTGTTATCTTCTGGAAACTAGAAAAGCATATGTTACAGCAGATGCTGCACTATGATTTCCCCCCTTGGACACTGTTAGGGCATTCAGCTAATTGTAGCACTGTAATTAGCTGTGTTCTGTACCTCAGAAGCAATTTTTTCTACACAGGAATATTCCACTGACACCACTTCTCTGGGGAACTGAAAAAAGGCATGTTAAGGTTAATAAATGGGGAAAGAGAAGGAAAGACAGTAAATTAGAATAACTGGCCTAAAGTGGGTCTACAATGACAAGTTCTGTGTTCCTCTTGGGCAAAGTGGGCTGACAGGTTGCAGCCCTGAGTAAGAAACCTTGTACCAGCTCCTCCAAGCCAGATCTGCCAGTCCTTAGTCCATCAAGCCCACATTTCAGGTCAGTGGCAGATCCGAAGGAGTCAGGACTGGGGGGTTTTCCTGTTTGCATTTTGTGCAGAGCAAACCTACAGCTGCAGCTCTGGCAGCTGTTACCAATCCTGCAATTCCTCTGTGCAGAAGGGCTCTCATACACTTCTGCACAGTGGCCTTGAGGCAAGGATTCAGGAGAGCACTCCAACATGTGTAAAGCAATCCCTGCCTCTGCCAGCACATGAGCAGAAGAGTAACATCAGGCATATCTTTAATTCCCTGTAACTTCAGTGAACCTTCAACCCATCAAACTCAAGCTCCCACTTAAGTACTGACAGAATAAAGATGGTTCCTTGAACTGTAAAATACATATATTGCCATTCATTATGATTATATAGCCATGTAAGAATGTAGGTGTGAAGCTCTTTGTAGTAGCTTTGTAGTAGTTACAGAGCTGTAGAAGGCTTCTTCATGTATAAACTGCTGTTACTCCTGAATCTGTCAGTTTAGGTTAAACACCTAAACACTTCTACATGAATATATGCCTATACTACAGATAATTTCTGCTTCATCTTGAATAGATATTAACTCAGGAACAGATGTGCATACAGCATGATTAACGATCGTGTCTTTCTATCAGAAATTAAGTTTTTTGCTTACAATTCTAATTTAGGTATGTGGCAAAAAATTGGCATCAAAACATTTTGATATATATGGGTAACATTTCTCAGTTTCACGGGGCACTTTCAGGGGAGTAAAAGTGGGCTGAATGCAAATCAGTGGGCAGAATGCAATAAAGTATGTTTGTTACATATTATTAAATGGCTTTTGCATTTGATCACAAGATATATACTCTTATGCACATGAGCATAGCAACACATATATTATAAATACAAGATTTATAATTATGCAGCTAACTGTGATGCTCTACCAAACTTGCTGAAGGGGCAGGAGGAGGCTCAGAGATCTGACATGTCTTGATATCAGCCCTCAGTGAGCCTTAAGTTACAAAACACCTCACAACCACTGGTACTTTACCTGGGGGTCAAAATGCTGAAGGCAAAAGAGAAGAAGGTTCAGGACAGAGAAATTCCCCTGCAGCCTGTGCTATGTTGGCATTGCTGCCAAAGATGGGAGCACAGCTCATACCCAAACCAGCTTGAGCTGACCAGCTCTCAAACAGCTGCAGCACACAAAACCACCTTTGCCCAAAATGGCTACATCTCAGCAAGGCCAGTCTGTCCCTCACAGACACATCATTATCACAATTCACCATCACAACCCAACAGCAAGCCCTGAAGGTCACAGAGGCCACTCACAGTGCCTTGTCTCCCAGGCAGAGCAGTGCCACGTCTCCTGGCAGGGACTCTGCTGAGAAAAGTAGTCACGTCCTCAAACACCACACACTGTTCTAACACCCTCGTTAAAAATATCCTCAAAGGCATCTGGGAAATCCTGCAAACCATCAAATGTTGTGGATAATGGGGGCAATGAATGACACCTGCCAGGCAAAAAGTCACAGCAGGTGTCACTTAGCTGTGCTGCTGCCTCATGCTTTTCCAGGATGGCTTGTCAAACAAATTTCCTTTTTCATTTTGTTGGGTTTTAGTATTTTTTATGATGATGCACTACTTTGCCTGACTTTGAGAGTACAGGGAGTTCTTTGGACAGGCAAACTGTCCAGCAGAAGGGAGTTTGCTTCTTCACATGAGGTGCAGGTGCAGTCAATCAGTAACCAAGCTCCTCCTTGGGGCCCAGTGACTTGGCAGAAGAAGTCTGGAGATGGGACTTTCTTGCTTGCCCTCTGACTGTCTCCTCCCAAATCAATGTATGTGGGCACATGTAAATAATGCAAGAGTAGAACTAGATTTTTTTTCTCACTGATTGTTCCTCCCGTAGGAAACCAAGCTACAGGAAACCAGAATCTGCTTCTGTTCAACACTGGCAGGTGGGCGTCAGGAAAGGGTCAGCAGTGCCACACAGACAGATCACAAGGAAATTGCAGGTCCTCACAAGGGCACAATGTTATCCTTTGATAGCCAGCTGGCACAATTCAGTTGATCCCTTGGTTTCACAGCCCCATCACTTTCTTTGATTTCAAAGATGATGGGGAGGTGGGGGGAGGAGGAGGAGAGATCAATACAAAGGCACATGCTGGCTGGAATTAGGCAGACCATCCATCAGAATAACCCTGCTGTAGTGTTGGATAAAAGGGTGTGCCAAGCATAGCAGAATAAAGTGACAGAGCCACCTCATAACCATTGCAAGGTCAGGATAAAAACTAACGTCACTATCAGCTCAAGTGGAGCAGATGACACTGAAGGAAGAAGGTTGAGTGGAAGGTAGGGCTCTGGGAAGGGACAGCAAATCAGGGTTACCCTCCTGTGCAAGATTTGGTTCCAGTTCCTGATCCAGATGGACACAGGTCATGCTGTTGAGGCCAGTCCAGGGGAATTCTTAGCAGTTGCTAACTATTCCCCATGACTCAGTCCCTGCTGGGAACACAGGGATGCCTCAAACCAGACACGTCTCATGCCTCCTTCCTGTCTCACATTTTATTCCTGAAATGTATAAGGCCTTCTTATTATTTGATTCCGTGATTTTAAAGTTGGAAGAATTGTTGTTGGGCAGATCCCATGTGGTGCTGGGTCATTCCCTCCTTGGCTCTGACTTTTCCTGGATATACTCAAAAAGAGGGATAGGATGATGTACCCATACCCTTATAGTTATTTTACAAAGCCTGCTCTGGGGAACAGTTATCTTTTTGGTGGCTTGCTTCATCACTCGCCATAAATAAGTTCCTGAATTCTAACTAGCTTCTAACTAGATTCTTTCTAGATTCTCGAAGCTTCAGTTGTAGCAATAAACAATAATAACAACAACAGCAATAATGATAGTTACGTGGAAAACGTTCCTTTACAAAATGGATGGACCTTTGTGAAGAGAAGTAGTGCTGAGAACATGATTGCTGCTACCACACAAAGGGTATAATTGATCACAAAGTAACGAGTCACGGACTCAGAGATGCCTCTCTAATCACCCAGCAGGCAAATTATAATCCTTCACCAGCGATATAGTGACTGTGCGTGGAACTGTAGAGAGGGTTTGACACTGACATTTGTATCCCAACCCCTTCCATCCTCCAACGAGGCTGCTGTATCTACACTAAAAGAATTTACCCCTTTATAAGGGAAATGCGGCGTATTTTGCCCCGGGCACGAACTCTCAAAGACGTTCGCAGCCGGATAAATGAGTGCTTGCAGGGCCCACACCTCCTCAGTTTTCCCACTAGGAATAGGGGGCACTGGGGAGCTTTCCCCTAGGAACCGGCAGCATCCCTGGTGGTCCCTCCTAGGTAGAGCAGTGGGGACCAGAACTTCTGAAAATCCATGCAAACCTTCCACCAGCCACCTGCAGGCTTTGCAGCCAACTTTCCCGGTTAGAGCAGCCCAGGAGGGATGCTCCCCGGCAAGCCCCGGAGCGCGGCATCCCCGCGGCGGCGGGCGGCGATCCCGCCCCGGGGCGGGGGGAGGCGGGGGCGCGGGGCCGCGTCCCGCGGGCGAGCAGAGGCGAGCGAGAGGCGGCGGGCAGCGAGCGGGGCCGGCCATGGTGCCCGCGCTGCTGCTGCTGCTGCCGCTGCTGCCGCCGGGCTCGGCGGGCGGGCGCTGCCCGCTGCGCTGCGCCTGCACGCACGGAGCGCTGCGCTGCCCGCCGCCAGCGCACGGCGCGCTGCCCGCGCCCGCCCGCGCGTAAGTACCGCGGCTGTCGGACCGGGAGCGGCAGGGCTTGGGGAGGCCAGGACGGGCGGACTGCCGTGCCTATACACCTGCCGTGCGGGCTTGGAGCATCCCTGGCCGCGCGGAGGTGCGGGACGTGAGGATGAAGTTTTCAAACTTCTAAAGTTCAGACAAACCCGGAGGCAGAGGCTTCTCCTTGGGAAGGAGACGCGCATCTTTCGGGACTTTTTCTCAAGGGGCAAAGTGTCTCACTCTGCAGTAGCCTCAGCGACAGAGGAACGGGTGCAGTGTCAGGGCCTTCTGGGCTCTCTCGCTGCGGCAGGAGGCATAAAATGCCTTTCCTGTTACAGAACCAACTCCTTGTAGTGGCATGGGTAGATTTAAAGAAACCTGACTAAAGTCTTGAAAAGTCACCTTAAGCGTTCTGTCAGTTCTAGGGTTTGTTTGTTTCTTTCACAACTCTGTTGGACTTCTTGACCTATACTCCCAAAGTTTGTGAGATTAATTTTCCCTCTATCCTGAAGCATCAAAATCCTCTTCACTGTGCTCATTGCATTTTCTTGAGGTTCAATTCATTGACAAGTTATTGACTATTTTCTTTTCCTCCTCTCTTAGTAAAAAAGTTACTGTGAGTTTTGACAGCTGTTTAGATCTCTGCAGGGTGGTCCATCATAACTTTCTGCTTAATGATTTGCTGGAAATTAGGATTAAAATAAAATAACATGGGCATTCTCTTTCCCTACTCACACACCATAGTCCAAGCTCATGGTCTAGGAGACCAGATGAAATAATTGATATATGTAGTTATTCAAGTGTTGTGTTGTTTATGGGCTCAGTTACAGCCCTGATCTAAACAGCCATGGCGTCAAAATACAGGATTAGAGGAGCAGCCGATATGATGGTTGCCATTTCCAGGATCCCTTGGTTATCTCTGCATGAATTGAGCTGGGGTTTTCATATTATTACCCTTTTGGTAACAAAGCCTGTGTTTTCCATTTTCATCTGAGTTGTTTGTAAATTTAACTTGCTCTTGAAATTCCCTAGGGATGATGCTAACCCTGATCTCCTCTTCCCTTTCTCCCTAGCTCAATAATGGATAAGAGCAAGAAAACCCAATTTGTATTAATCTAGAGCCATGTGAATCATTGCTCCAAAGTCAAAGATTCTAGAAAAATCTGTGCCCTGGATTTGTTCCCTGCTCAGAGAAAGCAGAGCCCATGGGAGCAGGAGACTCTCCCATTGTATTTCTTCTCCAGTATTTACAGCACATGCAGAGCAGGCAGTGGGTTAAGCATGTCTATTAGGATGACACACATCACAGCCCAGAGAGATTATCAAGAGCCCTAAATATACGTGATTTTATTCTTTCTCTATTTTGGTTTCATTTTTATTTCTCCTTTTTCCATCTGTCACCCCAAGAAGAAACCACATCTCAACCTCAGTGATCCCGTTAGGACAGATAATGGGCTTATGTCTGCTAAGGCACTGAGAGCAATAGGGCTAGGTAACTGACCAAAAAAAAAGAAAAAAAAATTTCCTTTCTACCTTCCATATAACATTTAACCCTGATGATTGTACACAAAGTCCTGCTATTAGGCTGGCTGTAGAAACCAACTTTACAGTCAGAAAAAGAGTCCCACCAAGATTTAGCTCAATACTCCTACAGAGAAAATATTTACACTTAGAAGTAAAAAAAACCCCTGTCTTTCACAGACATATCCAGCTACTTCTGCTTCTAATCTTATTTATTTTGAACCTCAACCTATACGATTAAAATTTCCACTTATTTGTATTTTTTACTAGAAAGCTTGCATTCATCATACAATTACAAAACTGTACATATGAATGTAGTCACTAACCCCACAGGTGTCCATGTATTCTCACTCTTGTTTAGTTGTTATTCAACCTCTTTTACTTTTCTTTCACCTCTTCCTTTGGTTTTCATACCAGTTTCTTCTTATCCATTTAGCTGTGGTCTTCCCCTCTCTCTCTTACTCTTTCCACTCTCTGTTACTCATACAGTTTTTGAACCTTTGTTAGTGCCGACTGCCTTTCTTTCCATACTCTCCCTGTCCTAGCTCTCTTCTTCCCTTACACAGCTCTGTGCATGAGAGAGAAAGCAAGAGGATGTTAATTTTGTCCTCTCATAGCCACATCTGTACCCACATGCACCAGGGGAATTGCAGCATGGTGCTTGCAAGTGCATGAGTAATTTGGGGGGAAAATGCTGCTTTAGGTTGTTCCAGTACAGTTCCTGGGGTGCCCATGTCCTTCCATCAGTGCCACTGTAACACAGAAACCAGACCTCAGAGAAGTCCTTCTTAATTATATGGTCACTGAAGAAAATAAGCTCCAATATGTAACTCCAGCTAGATCTGAGGAAAAGCTGATGCTGTAATGATCTGTGCTTCCAAATGTATTTTTGATACTTTGCAATATCCGTAGTATATATCCCACAAGGAAATTTCAGCCATTTTTCCTTACCCAAGTTATCCTTGCCATGTGACATTATTGCTAAAAATCTTTTTCAACATTATTAGGCTTCTGACAAGTTGCAGAATTATGGGGTTTATACAGTCCTGAATTGACCATATTTTTTCTCAAATCCCTGGTTTTAGTTTGGATATTACACAAACACTATAGAACCTCCATTATTCAGACACCTTTGAATGCCCTTTGGCTACAGCAGCTACATGTGCTCTTAGTCTCAGAAGGAAAATAATCTTTAATACGCTATTACATTTTGAAACAAAACATTCTTTTTCTTATTTTGAAATCTCATGTGTACTTTTGGGGTTTTAAGCAAAGTCTAGTTGCAAAGGCACCCAACTCAACTGTGCAGCTATGAGCACTGGATAACTTAAGTCTTTTTAACGCATTCAAAAACTTAATTTCATGGTGAAGTGAAATGAAATTTCACTTAGCTGTATCTGAATGTGTGCCCCCACATGCAGAGCTTCTGCAGTTGGGTGAGTGACATGTGACTAGGCACCAAATTCCAAAATATCAAATACAAAATTTGTGGCAAAAGACTGAAGAAGTAGACATTTCTATCATGTCTTCATTGGAGGCATATTTGGCTCTTTGGGATTGTCAAAAGAATTCAGTTTCAGAGACAAAGTATCTGCCATATAGGAGATTATATGGCCCATCATCACCTAGTGAAAAATGCTGTGTGGTTGCTTGTGTGATATCACAGTTCACATTTCAGGTAGGTAATGTCCAATATGCAGGGCTTTAAAAATCAATGCCCCCCAGAAGCTGATAAAAATCCTAGGAAAATAGTGGGTTTTCAGCCATAGTTTCAATCAATATTCCCAATTCTCCCAAGTTTAAGGATGCTACAGATTAAAATGCTTGCCAACAGGAGTCTACCTTATGTGTTCACCTTTTGGGCATTAAAAATATAAAATAAACAAAAATATAAAAATATAAAATAGACATATTAAAATATAACAACCAATCTAGCTACAATAACTCATTCACACCTATTACTATTGGGCCTGTGCTTTTTATGTTATTATTATTATTAATCATTCAACTAAACAGTTTTTGCAAAAGGTCACTTCTGTAATAAACTGATTTCCTCCAGTGGTGTTAATGGGCTTGGGCTTTGACGCCTCCTCAGCAGGACTGCAAGTGGTACTGAGCTCTTGGGGCATCCAGAGCTCTCAAAAGCTTTGCTTGGAGCTTCAGTCTATGTGGTGGCAGTTCCTGTCTTTCCCAATGCTCCTGGATAGCCTTACATACATTGGCTTGGCCATTTCAAACCTTACTGCCTAGAAGTACGTACTTTGAAAACCAATCTTGGTAACATAGAAATGCCAAGGGCTGCTGAATGCCAGGAAGTCTGGCTGGCTCTCCCATTCTTTCTGTCTTTTTCCAAGGATGAGAAGTCCTGCAATTCTGTGGAGCCGCAGCATTGTCAGTGCTGAATGACAGCAATGAGTACAAGCATGCAGGTTTTGATGCATTAGATAGGAAAGAAACTTTACAGGTTTTCTTAAAAGTGCAAATATTTATCCTTTAATAAAAGTCTTCAAAACAGTGCAGGCTTCTTGTATGAAAGATGGGTGCATCTCTCCTTTCATGAGCTACAGCAATCAGGCCAGCAGTGTGGGCAAGTTAGATTTACAGAAGCTCTGTAGCTTTGTAAAACCATTTGTTGTCAAAAGCTTCCTCAGCTGAATGGCCATATCTGAGTTTCACTATCTGAGTGCTGTCAGAAAGAAATCTGAACAGGCCACCCACCAGAAAGACTGAGCAGATGAGACATCTGCAGACAGAGAGCAACAGCCTCACATTCACAACTCCTGGTCCTCAGGAGGCACTTCAACCACAGCAGGTCATAAGCAATCCAGGAGGTTCCTGGAATCCTTTGATGATAACTTCTGCCTCCAAGTGACAGAGAAGCCCAGGAGGAGAGGTGCAGTGTGGGCCTTGTTCTCACCAACAAGGAGGGGCTGGTAGGGAACATGAAGGCCAAGGGCAGCCTTGGCTGCCAGGACTATAAATGAGTTTAAGGAGCTTAGGACAGCGAGGAGGGTGCACAGCAAGCTCATTACCCCTGACTTCAGCAGCCTTTGGTCTTTTCAGGCACCTGCTTGGCAGAGTCCCAGGGGATAAAGCCCTGGAGGGAAAAGGGGCCCAAGAAAGCTCCAGATCAGCTCCAAGCTCAGGAGGGATACATCCCAAGAAAAAGGAAGTCAGGCAAATCACCAGGAGGCCTGCATGGATGAACAAGGAAATCCTGGACAAGCTCAAACACAAAAAGAAGGGAAGAAGGTGGAAGCAGGTACAGGTAGCCTGGGAGGAACACAGAAAAATTAAGCAGATGGGATCAGGTTAGAAAAGCTGACACCCTGATGGAATTAAGAAAAGGGAAACCCCCATTTTTACAGAGGTAAATAAGGAATACCCAAAGAAATAAATGCCACTCAGTCTCACCTTCATGCCTGGCAAGATCCTGGAGCACATCCTCCTAGAAGCCATGCAAAGGCACATGGAAGCTAAGGAGGTGATTGGTGACAGCTGATGTGGCTTCATTAGGGGCCTGACAAATTGGGTGGCCTTCTAGGATGGGGTTACAGCAGTGGTGGATGCTAAAAAGCCATTGACATCATCTACCTGGACTTGTGCAAAGCATTTGATGCTGGCCTGCATGACATCCTTGTGTTCAGATTGGAGAGAGATGGGTTTGATGGGTGGGCCACTTGGTGGATGAGGAGTTGGGATGGAGCCCATTCTCAGCAGGTTTGGGGATGGCTCCGAGCTGTGTGGTGGGGTCGGCACGCTGGAGGGGAGGAACCTTGAGAGGTGGGAGAGGCTGGAGGCCTTGAGACTGTGCAAACCTCATGGAGTTCAGCAAGGCCAAATGCAAGGTCCTGCATGTGGGCCAGGGCAATCCCAAGCGCACACATGGGCTGAGCAGAGAATGGATTGAGAGCAGCCCTGGGAGGGACTTGGGGGTGCTGTGGAGGAGAGGTTGGACATGAGCCACCAATGTGTGCTGGCAGCCCAGAAAGCCAGTGGCGTTCTGGCAAGGGCAGCAGGGCGAGGGAGGGGATTCTCCCCTTTACTCCGCTCTTGTGAGAGCCCACCTGGAGAGATGCACCCAGCTCGAGGGCTTCCAGCACAGGAAGGATGTGGACCAGCTGGAGCAAGTCCAGAGGAGACCACAAAAATGCTCAGTGGGCTGGAGCACCTCTCCTAAAGAGACAGGCTAAGAGAGCTGGGGTTGTTCATTAAATATTCAGAGAATCATAGAATGGTTTGGGTTGGAAAGGACCTTGAAGATCATCACCTCTCACTCCAAGCCATCAGCATTACAACCAGCACGCTGCTTACCCATCAGCATATCACAGGGAGGTAGTAGGCTCATGGCCTGATGTAATTGAAAGCCAAGATTTGGTTTTATTTTTGGCACCATCAGTCACATTTCCATTTCCTTTGTTCCTGAGCTGATGGTGCAATTATAGTGTTATAGAGCAGGAATTTCCCTGCTTCTACTTTTTCCTGAAGTTCTTTTCCTTTTGGCTCAGACTGTTCAAACCCACGGCAAATTACTTCTACCTGGCTCTAACCCTCAAGGAAAAAAAAAAGTACATTCTTTAAGCTTCATGACTTAGTTTCATTCCTGATTTAACCAAACCTCACACACAGCAAACATGCCAGCATCAATCTGGAGACAGGTATGACCCAATCACAATGGAATGACAAACATATATATCCTTCTTAGGTAGGGGAAGCATTGCTATTCCCAGTTTACTGACAGGAAGACAAGGTCCAAGGGAACTAAATTAGTTGCCCCAAATCATACAGACTTTTTGGAACATAGCTAGGAAGTGACTTCCAGGCTCCTTGGTACATCCAAACTTTTAACCCCTAGACACAGTACATAAGGCAGCCTGCCTTTCTAATGTGCAGATATGACATATTTTTAAATATATAAAAATATATACATATATATATATATTAAAAACTTGATGAACATTTAACATAAATATTTACAATAATAAACATATTTCTTCATATAAAGGATTATGATAACAATAAAAAAAAAAGCAGATTATGTGAATAGCATGAAAACATTTCAGTGAAAAAGCCTTGAGGGGTTGAGTTTAAGGATGGGAAACAAATGTCTGTAACTAGATATTTGTCGTTCTAAAGCAAAATGGAGCAATTATCTGTTTTCACAGAGATAACATTTTGAAATATGTTAAATATTTTCCTATGGCCGTTATCAGGGAGAGTGTGGTCATGGATAGATAAATTGGCTGCTAAAAGTACTGTTGTTCAGATGTGGAGAATGGTAAAATGTGGCTCTGTCTCCCACATCATTGTTAATTTCTCAATCAGAGAAACTAAAAAATTAAAAAGTAAAATTCACACTTGCTTTGAATCAACTAACTACACTGATGCAAATTAAAAATTTATTTTAAAAAATTTAAAAATTTATTTTAAAAAATCCAATATACCAGCCTGATTTGAAGTTTTTCTACACTTTGTGCACAGCCACATTCATGATGCCACACTGCAACATTACAGGGATATTGCTGGGAGGAGAATATGGTGCAGCAAACACAAAGATACTGTTTTAATAGAGAAAGATTTATATGAAATCCACTTCTTCTGAGGATCTAACTTTAAATAGCCTGTAGTTTCCTTTAACTGTGAATCTAGCAGCCTACTTTCATCAGGCTATAAATTTGCTTAATAGGTTATGATTATTATTGATTGGATGGTGATAACTCTCAAATTTATGCTGTTGAGGAACTGACCCAGTATCTTTTGAATTCCATTTAACTGAGATCAATGCCAAATGGATCAGGCCTCAGAGGCACAGAGAACTGTGGGAAAAATAAGATGGTGTTATGTTTTATTGGTTTTCTCCCTACCATAATGGTACAATTATAAACAAGGAAACCCCATGCCTTACAACCCTTTCCTCCCTCTCTTCTGTTTTTTTTTTTTTTCAGATCATTTACTCATCTCCCTGTAAAAGTAATCCCATCACATGCATTTGAAGGACTTCAAGATGCCTCCATCATGTAAGTTGTCAATATTTTCCATAGGCTTTTCCTTAATTTCTTACAAAAGTCATCCTTTTATAATAATGTAAAAATGCTAATACACTCTATTGATGAAATAAAACCACAGGGGAAGTATAAACATAGTATTCCATTTCATGTAAACAGTATACAAAAGATCCCTTGAAAATGTGTGATTTTTAACAGCTGTTTAGAGATCAAACAATGAAATATTAATCATGTCAGAGAGAACTGGATACAGCTCAGTAACTGATGAGAGGAGAATTTGATTAGCTGAGGAGATATATTTCTATCATTACCTCTGCAATGACAGCCATGGCACATTATGCATTTATAGAAGACCCAAATATGACATTTCTTCACATTTTGCAGTGAGAGATAAGCTTGGCAGGTGATCAGTAGGATTGAGCCCTTTCTTAGATCTTTCTGTTTGCAAGTGCCGTAATTTTGCACACAGGGTCTGTGCTGCTTCTTGACCCTCAGCATTGTCCCTATTTTCCATCAAGGATTCAGACCATAAGGCTCTACTCACCCCTCTTGCCCTCATATCTGCTGTTATTCCAGCTGAAATGGCATGCTTGAGTCTCCATTATTTTTCTTATTTTGTCTGCATTGAGTGGCCTCTAAAGGACAAAGTTGATGACACAGCAGTGCAGTGAAGAGCAGGGGGATGACCTCCCCCAGAACTTAAGCAGCAGCACAGAAGATGCTGCTTTTTCAAGGTGCACCTTTTATGCTTCTATGCAGCACATATCCAACGGCAATACAGTATTAAAACAGAATCCAGTGGTGCTGTATTCTTGCATCCATTTGCATCTAAATGTTTAATGAGAACTTTATCATTTTCTCACTGGACACCAACTTAAACCTATAGAATTTCTCCTACCTGTATTACTTGAGGCTACACTTTCTCAAACTGTACATATGTCATATTCTCCATAAAGAATGCTTTGTTCTTGGACATCAATCACTTCCATAACAGGAATTTAATTGATCTTTTTGTGTGCTTTTAATGAATCTCCCCAAATTTACTGTATGGGAATCAATGTATTTTTTTGAAATTAATTTGTAGAACACGTCATCATTTTATTGAGATTTAGTGCTGCTTTGAAAAATGCATATTTTATAATTATAAATCTCTGAATAACCTATTTGGTAACACATCACTCTCTGAAAGATGACAAATTATTCTCATGCCATAAGTCATTGCAACATATGTAAATGGAAAAACTGTGGCTCACAGGGAGGATCCCATAGAAGAACCATGTTTCAGACCCCAAAACAGTTCTGTGAACAGGCACTGATCCCTCCCAGCCTGTGAGTCTCTTGAGGATTAGGTGCCCAGAAGGCCACTTATTCTACATCTATCTTTCATTTATAAGTAACCAAAGCAATACCAAAAATAACATTCTCATTGAATTGTGATGATGAAAAAAATCTTTGATCATTCTTTCAGATACACATACACAATAACTGTGTGGTTTCTAGTGTGCATCCCCCTTTACCACTACAAATGAAATACAGAATTTATTCTGGTCTAAGGGATTTTGTATCACCAAGAGGGTTGTTTCTCATAATTGCAATTGAATTAAGCTAACACTCAGGACTGTGACAATACTGACTCTGATGGTGTAAACACATTCCAGTTGTTTGGAAAATATTTTTTCTTGGGAGTGTACAATCTTAGGTTTGCTTTGTGTGCCCTTCTAGTCAATTCTGTTGAGAAATTTGGAAGATCTTCCCCTTACATAACCTCAATGTATACTATTTACTTTCAGGACTCAGTTTTGCATAGCCTCTTATATCTTAACCTAACAAGCATCTAATAAGTTGGTTTTGTTTTTCTATGTCAGTATTGACTAATCTTGAGTACACACGTGGAACAGGAGCATCTGCACATCCCAATCCGAGAGTGCCACCAAACATAATCATGTTTGTCTGTGTCAGGATGAAAAGAGACACTTCCTTTCAACTTGCATAAATGTAATGAAAATGGCATTTAAATCCAAACATTGTTCATGAAGTGTTCTGAATCCATATCTGTGCCTTTCTACATCTGTGGGTGAGATGACCATAGTTCTGACGTGATAATAACATATGAAGCACCATGAATGTTGTCCACGCCCACACCCTGCAAATAAATTCAGCAAGCAGAACCAACGATGGGAGGGAGGAAAAGACTCATGAGGCTTGATCTTATCTTGCTTACATTAGTTCTGGCCCTCAGTCTCTAGCTTACCTGCAATTTGCTGAGGAAATGGAGATTGGCTGCTACAGTGGCACTTATTCCTAAGGGCTGGCTTTCCCTTTTGCCAAGACAGAAAAATGCTGGTCCTCTCTCAAACCCCACTGGCACAGCCTGGCAGGATGTCTGAGGTGAGGCACAGACAAGACTGATAGGAGGAGCTGAACAAGTGTGCATAGAAGAAGGAAATACAAAATGGAAAGCCAATTTCTGGTGTCTTTTCTGGTAATGTGTTGCTTTGTGTCTGCTGTTTTCATTGCAGTGAAATCTCTCAGAGCGACTCCCTGGAGAGAATAGAAGCGAGTGCCTTTGACAGCCTTCCCTCCTTGTCTGAAATGTGAGCACCAGTTTAAAAACGGCATCCATGTTGTGGTTTTGGATCATCAAGGAGTAAGCAGGCTGCAGAGAAGCATACCTGGACCAAATCTGTGTCTGTTACTTTGTTTGGCTTTGATTGAGCTCTGTGATGAGAAACATTTCTCTCCAAAGTACTGTATAAAACTGTGAGCACTCTGTAAGGCCTGGCCTTGGCGATCTAGCTCAGGCAGAGACATCCCTGCACAGAGTCCCCCTGCTTCCAGTAAGCTCAGGGCAGAAGTGGAGCTCTGGCACTGACAGGTTTTCTAAGTGGGGAAATAATTCAAAATAACAACAGATGAGAAAAATCTTTCTTTTTGAAGATGCCGTTTTCAAAGCCCTGCATTATTTAAATACAGCTGCTTAGTATGCATAGCTCTTCTGTGGAGCACTAAAATATTACTCAAACAGAACATGCACCGATTTTAAACTTGACCTCCATAGCACAGGCATCTGAGAGAGAGAGTTAAATGCAACAACTAGGAGAATGCTCTGAAATATTTAGTGAAATTGGAAACTCTAAATCTGATTCAATATCTCATTACTGCCTTTTTCGCACAGCATGACCAGTGAGTGGCTGAAAATTGTGCAACTGAGGACAAATTCATCTCTTTTTTCTTTTATATGTGAACATCACTGAAGCCAGTTACTCACAAAAGCAAGGGATACAGATTAGTCAACCTCTGAGTCCAACTTCCACTAGAATCAGTGGTGTGTTTAGGGAAGGAATGAAAGATTTGACCCCATGCATTCACCTGCAGTTTATGGATAGCTTTTCTTATACCTGTCTTCCAAAACCCAAAAGCTAAGCAAGGCCATTAAAGAGCTATAGGAAGCTGGCAAGAAAACCTCCTTGAACCCTGAGAGCTGTGCAGGACCCACATTGCAAGGGCTTGATGTCCCAAGCTGCACTCAAGTCCACATTCAATGGATGATCAGGGTACCGAGTTCAATTGCATCCTTGAATTTCAACTTTTCTTACCATATCACATGCTAAGACCTTTGTATTTTGGAAGTCATGCACTGGGAGGGTGCTGGGCTATGGCTATTGGCCTTTAGGGCAAACAGAGCTTTTCCAGATAGTTCAGCTGCATGAAGTGCTCCTTGATTAAGAGAGCTGCCCATTTTTTGAGTGGCCACTAGCAAAAAGGACTTCTCACACATTTCTCTCCCAGTTTCTGCTGATCCACTTCTACCAACCACTGCTCCAAGGAAGTCCATAGAGCTCCTAAGAGGTTAAACCACCTGAGGAATTGCCTTTCCTGGCTAGGAAGAGCATCAGTAATGTAATGGAAATGAGGGATGATTTGAAGGGATCCAATTGTGGAGCAAGGACCAGGCACACACACACACACCCTCAGATCCAGACTTGTCCCCATGTCCAAGCCCAAAATGCTAACTCCCACCAGTGACCAGGATATCCAAGCCAGACCAGCTCAGAGAACCATGAGAATTCAGGCAGTGTTATCTTTTGTTAGCTGCCTGAAAACTGCAGGCTGTTTTTATTACCAACAGTGCCTCAAAATGCACCCAGCAGCACATTTTCTGAGAAAGTAAATTGCAAGCAAAACTAAGGGCCCTCCCAAATCTATATTTGTTATAATACTGAAATATTTTTCCCTCACTGCAGATTAATCCTGAACACAAAAAATCTGTTGCACATTGAGGACGGAGCGTTCAGAAATCTTCCAAGGCTAAAATACTTGTAAGAAAGAGTTCTATTCCTTTTCTGTTTGCTCTATTTATTATTTCCTCCAAAGGAGTAGACAAATCAAATTAAGGAGTGTAAGGAAAAAGGTTTTTCATGCATTACAGTATCCTAGAGATACATACATTGTTTACAACAGCTTTAACCTGGAGTTAGCCAATAGTGAGGTCTTTCAGTGTACAAGGGCAGGGCAGTGATGGACAAAACAGTCTGCAAAGTAGTTCTGATAAATGCTTATTTCTAGAATAAAGCTTTTAGACTAACACAGTACTAAACAAAAGATGTAACTAAAATGTCTTTCTCATGCTTAATGTAGTGAGAACATATGCTGCTCCTCTAGGATACTGCTTGAGAATTCTAAAAACTTGATTTTTGCAGGGCTTACAAATACCTTTGGAGCCTACTTAAAAAATTAAGTTTGTCAGTCACTTTTTTAAAGCACTGTTAAACTTAGACCTATCAAGTCAGCTTCTTGTTGCATCCACTCTGGTAATATTTTCTCCCATAAATAGGAATTATGCTTTTCTCTAGGAGTATTTGTAACACTGGAATAAGACAATTTCCAGACCTGACACAGATCTTCTCAATGGAAGCTCATTTTATTTTGTAAGTAGAGACCCATGTTAACCCAGCTGTGTTTTCCATCTTGTTCCTGAGACACTGACAAAAACACCTTTTTTCTTTCCTTCCAAAGGGAGCTCTGTGATAACTTGCGTATGACAATTATACCACAAAATGCTTTCCGAGGGATGAACAATGAATCACTGACACTGTGAGTAAAATAATCCTAGCTCCAGTTCCTTCTGTGAGGATAACACTTCTGTGTGAAGAAAGTGGGTTGACTTCATGAAAATCTTGACATTAAGCCCCATGAAAAATAAATATGTATCATGTGTTGAATTTTAGATACCTAAGAAATATAGAGATGTTCTTCAAGATGAAGAACAGTTTTACCCAAAAGTTAAGTTCATTTAGAAAGGAAAATAGGACCAGGGATCTAGATCTTCATCTTCCATGCAATGTTGTTTTATAAAATACCATCAGCAGGATATAGACTACAAAAACAGCACTGGAGGCCAAAGTCTCTGTTCTTACCTCAGGGATGTGGTTTCTTGAAACAGTGCTTTCAGGGATCAAGCAGTCTGAGGGAGCTGAGCTTCAGAGGCACAGGGTCCCTCTGAAAAGGAGGGATGGAGATACAGAATAAATTGGTACAAACTACAGATGCTGCTTCTTACCCTGATTTCTTTTGTCTCAGCTTACTTTCTCTACAAGATCCCTGTAAGTCTCCACACCCAAGACTTTCCTTTTAGCCAACAGTGGGTTCATTGCCCTGTGAGGTGGGTGGGTTTGATGCTATGAGATGCCCCACCTGAGGAATGCAGAAAGCCAAGGTAGAATATCCTCTGCCAGCACAGCAAAAAAATCTGCATGAATTTTACATCTCACTTGGCTTCAGAAAAACTTCCACAAAGTAGCACCGGAAGAGGAGAAATCACAAGATAAGCCTCTTGGCAGGATGTGGCCAAAAGTTGGGTTTCTGTAGGAAGGACCCTCTGAGCCACAGAGAGCAGCAGCAGGCACTGGCTTGGTGTGGTAGCCACAAGCCCTGCCCTTGGGGGCCAGGCCCCAGTTCACATCCAATGGGAGCCCTGCTCAAAAGTCCGTGGGTATCTGCACCTGCAAAAGAGCTGTGCACATGAGCAAGAACTGCAGCTGATGGGCTCTTCATCAGGCTGATGTGCCAGCATGACAGTAATTTTAACCCAGATTTTATGTATTGACCAATGCCTTCTGGAAAGGAGAGAGGAACTGGGCATAAATGTGACTGAATGCTACTCCTACATGATGCTAAAGAGGAGCAATTGCTTGCATTAGTGCATGATTTCATCTTATGAGTCTCTTTCCTCCAAATAAGTTCTCAAAATAACTTTAGAAAAAATATTATTCTGCTAATGGTGCAAGAAAATGAACATAAAAGAGATGGAGAAAGGTGCTTAAAGTCTTTACTGTAACCCTAAAGTGTATTAAATGGGAGGGAGTCTAAGTCAGGAAACAGCCAACAGTCATTTTTCTCCCATCCTTTTGTGATTGGGAGCTCACCACAAGAAGAAAATTATCTTATAAGCAGCTTCCTAATTGCAGAGCTACGTATTAACTCCACCCCATGTTGTTAGCTGTAATTAGGTGGAGTAATTCCTCCTGCTACAGCATGGTCTGGTGAAACACAAGTAATCTATGGAGGTGTAAAGTCACCCTGCAGTCATACGTTACACTGCAAATAGCTAATTTAGCCTTTCCAGCAGTTAATGTTTCTTGTAGAGTGGGAAATTGATCCCACATATTGTCATGGTCTTTAAGACTATCACTAATTTCAGCATTGTTCTGAGGTAGATACCATCTATCAAGTGGAGTCAGGTGCTCCCCACACTTGAGCACCTGGGACCAGGTTTCATAAGGACAGTTTGTGCTACCCCAAAAGCAAGTGAAAAAGCAACAAAAATGTTAAATCCATAAATAGTTCCAAGTTTTCTAATAGGAAATTTCTTTTTATTAAAGAAAAATTAATAAATACAAGTGACTATTATTGAATTTCTATTGGATACATGAACTTGATATCACAAATGGATATTAATAGACCCATAGACTACATCTCCTACTGAAGGAAAAGAGCTGGACCTGAGGTGTAGCAGAGCCCAGGCTTTAGGTGTCTGGCCCCAGGTGGGGAATCAGGAAGCAGGGTGGCATCCAGTGTCCCTGTGCAGTGCAGGGGACAGCAAGGCTTCCACAGCACAAATCAGCAGCACTTTGGAGAAGCTGGTAACTCACTGCCTGCTGGATGATGCACAACTCACCCCTGCCTCTCTGCAAAGCTGTCTCTTGGAAGATTTGTCCATCCACAGAGGATTTGCAAGCCAGCAGTTCCCTCCAGGCTTTACAGTTGCTTTCCACCTCTCATGCCTCTAGGCCTTGCAGTCTTCCATCTGCACCTGCAGATGGACCACAAAATCCAGGTCTCATGCCTCCAGGTTGTTGTCTGTGTGCCAGGAGCTTACCTGGACTAATGTCTTGTTTCTGGATCTCAGCCCCAAGTAGGCACAGGTGAGCCGCTCAGCAGGGAGAGGATCTGTACTTCAGCAGAAGTTCTCTTCAGCAGCTAACAGAAGAAGCTTAGAGAATTGAAACTGCACCTTTGTTAATTTAAGAGCTATAGTTTCCTTCATTCTTTATAAGCAGAGCCCCTAATCATTAAAATGAATGCAGCACCGAGGTTTGAAACTTGTAGTACAAAATATAACCTTACCTCTTCCAAATCTTTTTGCCTTATGTTTGTTTATTTAATCTCCAGCAAGTTGTATAAAAATGGATTTGAAGCTATCCACAGCCATGCCTTCAATGGGACAAAGCTGAATCAATTGTGAGTATGCTATCCCTCCTCAGTAATTTACACAGTAAATAAGAATTTTAATACTCATAGGCTCTTCCTTTAGTTTAACTGGCTGTGTCTTCTGTTTCCCAATACCCACGGGAAAACTGCATCTTTCAGTGTCATTGTGACTCAGTCATCAATCCTAAAGCTCTTGCTGCTTTTCCTGGAACAACATCCCTTAAAATAATACAGCTTTTGTGAGAAAAGCTCATAATTCTTAAAAAAACATTAATAAATTAGTATAGACCTTGAAACAGCAGCCCAGACTAAGGAATCTACAGTTTATGTCTGAAAATAGGTTTTTAATCCCTCTCACATGCTGGGGGACTTGGTATGGTCCCCAGGTGTGTTGGTTTGGGCAAAATTTATATTTGCTACTGTAGTAGTGAAAGAACCAGCCTGGTTGTTCCCAGTTTAAGTCAGAAGAATTTTGAATTTATCACTTTGAAGTGTAGATGATAATGATCTGATGGCATCAGAGGAATTAAAGGTCACATGGGAAATGCAAGCACTCCCCAGCCAGGCAGTGCAACAACCACTACTGGGGTGGGAGAAAGAATTGAAACAGATGTGAAGAAGAAACCAAAAAAGTGACTTTTAAAACACAGACATAAAGACAGTTCAATTTTTTTGGTTCCACAGAATCCTGAAGGACAACAAGAACCTCAGGCGGATACACAACGATGCCCTGAGAGGGGCCACAGGGCCAGATGTCCTGTAAGTATCCACAGCCCCATGACCCGAGTGTCCTGTGGGAACTGCACTGTGCCACCAGAGCTGTGGCACCACAGCAAACACACGCTCTGAGTCTGGAAGGAGATTTGATCTCTTACCCTCAGTGTACAAAGTGGAAACATGTCAAGGAGATGACATGAAATCAGAGAGTGAAAGCAGTTTGCACCCTGGCAAACACATACTAGCTCTAGTGTTGGCATTGATCTCCACCTCTTAGACATTTTGGGTTTTGCTTTATTCGTGTCAGATCCTCCTGATCCTCTTCCTGTATCTTATATTCTGACATTGTAAACTAACTTGTCCTTTAGTAGGGTGGACATGTTTTGGCAATATATATAGCTTTAGAATTTGTTTATAAAAGTGAACCAGTTGATTGCATACTGTAAACTCATGCTGAATAAAACTCGTTATTATCATCCTCATGATTTATTAATCAAGGACTTACTGGAGGGCTGCCCTGGCTCTAACTCCATGCAATAAAACACAGTGTGCTTCTGTAAATAGCACTTTGTGCTGCACATGCCTTTTTGTGCCTTTTATTGGTGCTTTATGGAACATGGCATTACTGATATCACTTTCAGAATTGTGGGCCTTTTTTTCCTTTGTTTAATGTCCTGACTCTGAAAATCCTTAGTCACTGATGAACTTTCTTCACACAAACAGCCCCTCTGAAGTTACTGTAAGCCAAACTGCTTACATTTGTGTTGGCAATAATGACAGAATCTTTTGGGGTTTTAATTAATAGCCATTTAATTAAAGCATATACAACAGCCCTTCAGAGCCAAGCAGGGAGCGAGGAGGGTGTCCTACCTGTTAGCTGGCTGGAGAGTCAAGCTATTTCCCACCTTCTTCTCTCCCTGTCTCTGGCTGGAAGAGGCATCCCTCACTCCATGCATGAAGGCTTTGTAGATCTGAACTTCTATGAAAAACCCAGTTGCTGTTACCTACTGTCATGCTCTGGTGATATTTTTATATGGATGAAAAGAAAAGTGAATGCTGTCTTTGTTTCACAGGGATATTTCTTCAACAGCACTGGAGTCCCTGCCTAGTTATGGGCTTGAGGCCATTCAGGTCTTAAATGCAACCTCATCTTACTCATTAAAGAGGCTGCCACCACTGGATAAATTCAGCAGTCTTTTGGAAGCTGTCCTAACATATCCCAGCCACTGCTGTGCTTTTCGAAATCTAAGGACCGAAAGGTAAGTCCTAATAATACATTATGGTGCTGCCGTGCTTCAGAAGTTCCAAAATGGCAATTCTGCTTTATTCAGCTCACATGGCTTGATTATCTTTATTCCAGTTACAGGGAAGCTGTGGTGCATTGCAAGGCCTTGCAGGAAGCAGCAAATCTCTGCTAAGACCAGGAAAATTACGTCCATTTATTTTAGAGCAGAAATGGATCCCATCCTGTGCCCTGGATCTGCCAGCAGAAACATTATTCTAAGTTTGTTTAAAGCTTACATTTTCCTTGGTATCTTCTGGCATACAGAAAACAAACCTTTATCAATAGCACATTGCCCTAATTTAAAAAAAAATTAAACCCCTGTAGCCTTTAGCTTAATTAATACAGGTGATATGATGACATAGTAGAAAAGGCAAGCTTTCAATTACCGACCAAAATTTAGAGCCTGCCACAAGGCTACAGAGAGAGGTTACACAGTTTAGTTCCAACCATTTCAAGTAATAGACAGTATTGTTCTCCCCACAACTGGAAACCATGGCATAGGGAGAGCTTTGCATCCACAAACTTGGGGCAGTTAACCCAAGACAACTGGAACTCACTTTTCAGCATTTATGTTTCAAAGAAACCAACCCCCAGCTGGCTTCAAGCAGCCAAAGCAACTCCAAATGGGTTTAGTCTGAGCCATGAAGGTGCCTCGTTTCTCATCCCTCTCAGATGAAGGCCATAGAAAAAACATACTGAGCGGGCAGATGTGGGCAGCCTGATCGGTGTCACTCCCATGCCTTCACTTCAAGGATGTCCTGGAAAGGCAGAAGTACCATTCTAGTTCTTTAGGGCAACATTAGGGGTTAATCTATGCTTTCTCTGCCTACCTCATTTTACTAAGGAGTTCTTGATTCTGCAAGAACAGAGCAAAGATTCCACTGTTAAGCATTTCCATTGCTAATGAACTGATTCTGTCACAGACAATCTCTGAGTGTATTAAATGCAGGAGCAACTCTGACAGAGAAAAAAAGGTATTTATTCTAATAAAGATAACTACATTTCTGATGCTCTATTATTTTTGGGGTGCTTGACTTTGAAGTATGAGCATGGTCTATAAAAAAAAGCACGCCTTAGTAAGTCACTTTCTTATAGTAAGTGACTGTTTTCTTAGTAAATTGCTGGGGAGAAAATCCCATGCCAATAAGGAAATGACTGCTCCCCTACCAAGGGCATCAGCAATGTGGTTAGACAAAGCCATTTCCATTCATACTGGTAGGGTACCTGGCTGCTACTTTTAAAACCTCAAAAACAGAGATTTTACCAAGTGTGTAATCCTCCAACTTGTACTATTCAAACTGCTTTACTCAAGCATGCAAAGCCTACCTCCGGATCCCAGACAGCTTTATAGGGTTACCTGGGGAAGATTCACCCCATGCACCAGTATGGCCTTGGGGCTGAGCTGCTGGGAAACAGCTCTGCAGAGAACCCAGAGACCTGTCCATGAGCCAGCAGTGTGTCCTTGTGGCCAAGAAGGCCAATGGTGTCCTGGGGTGCATCAGGAACTGCATTGCCAACAGGTTGAGGGAGGTGATCCTGACCCCCTACTCAGCCCTGGTAAGGCACATGTGGAGTGCTGTGTCCAGTTCTGGGCTCCTCAGGATGAGAGAGATCTGGGGCTCCTGGAGCAGGTCCAGTGGAAGGCTACAAAGATGATCCTCTGGGGATCCTCTCTTATGAGGAAAGTCTGAGGGAGCTGGGGCTGTTCAGCCCTGAGGAGAGAGGACTGAGAGAGAACCTCATCAGTGTCTGTCAGTATCTAAAGTCAAGGGGATGGACCAGGCTCTGGTCGGTGGTGGTGGGCAATAGGAGAAGAGGCAACAGGCAGGAACTGATGCACAGGAAGTGCCATCTGAATACAAGGAAGAACTTCCTTCTGTGCAGGTAAACAAACACAAGAACAGGTTGCTTGGAGAGGGCATGGAGTCTCCCTCACTGAGAATATTCCACAACTGTCTGGAATGGGCTCTAGGATGACAAAGGGAGGCTGGACCAGATGGCCGACCATAGTCCCTTCCAACCTGACCCATTCTGGGGTTCTGTATCAGGCCAGTTTCCCAGCAGCTGTTAACACACACTTCTCCAAAAGCCAGCCTAGCTGCTTCCATTCATCCTGGTGGAGAATCTGGCCCACTTCAATACAGTATTTCAAAATACACCATTTAATTCAAGTTATTTTACTATAAGACCAAGACCAAGATGAAAGACCATGCTTACACACCTTACACATCCTGACACTACCTATTTTCACAACATTTTAAGTCTTCTCCTTCCAATTTCCAGATGTCTGCAGGAATATTTGTGCTGCTTTGAGGCCAGCACTGGCTTACCTTACATGTCTGTGACCATCTGCAGAGAAGACAAGGCTTTGGCCAAAATCCAGCCTGAAACTTAACTTTCTTCTCATCCTTCTTGCAGACAAAATTTGTTGTTTTCCATTTTTGACAACTTCTCCAAGGAGTGTGAAAGCAGCATGAGGAAAACGACTAACGAAATGCTGTGAGTACCTCTCTGCATAGAGATGATGGAAGTAGCAAATACAGACCTCCTCCCCTTTCTGCTGTTCAAATGATTTTCACCAAGCAGGTCTTTGCCTGCCAATCCAGTCACCCCTACACGTTACACAGTGGTAATTTTACTATCACTAAACCAAGATTTGGATTTTCAAAAGGAAAGGGGAATAAAAAACCCTCATGATTTCACAAGCTTTCTCATTCCACTTTGTCTTCTGAATTCTGAAAGGAATTCAAAATAATGATTAAATATTTACAGAAGTTAGTGGCCTATATGGAGACTTTCCATTCCCTGAAATAAATGCTGTTGTTGGTGTGATTCAAAGAAGAGCTGCTATTGTTAACTTTTTTTTTTTTGCCTATAGAAAGGATAATTCAAACTCTGCATATCAATAGTTTTCCATGGTAGAACGGAGTCCCTGAGCTAGAAGTGTGATGACCCCGTGCCAGTGGTTTACTCCGTCTAAACATGTCCTTTCATATCATCACAGTTTTACTTGACAGTGTTCAATGAGAAAGGCTAATATCAAAGCTGTTGTGTTGGCTGTGCTGGATGACACAGGCTCTAACCCAGCTTTTAAGGGAGAAGTTTAAAGATTTGCTATTCTTCATCCCTCTGCACCTAAATGGGAGACCTTGGGACTTCTTAGCAGCCCTGATGTGACATTAAAGCATTCTAAAGTCTAGAAGAAACAAGGTTATGGTCACAAAATTCCAATGACCAAATACAGCTGAAATGTGATTGATTCATTGGGATAATTACTTCCTTGGACATTGTCTTGTTTGCTGGTTGGTGAGGCCTCCTACACTTGCCATTTGGTTTTATTTGTCTGCTTTTTTGGATTAGCATCTGTTGCACTCCTGCTGTGCATTAAATAGTCTGCCCAGCCTGTTGGCTCCTGAAGCTTTTTGCTCTGGCAAATCCCAATCCCAGCAATTCTCTGAGCAGGCATTATAATAAGCAAGTGAAAATAAGGTTATGGTTCATGGGCTTAATGGCTGCAGAACCACAGCAGAAATCATCTGGAAGTCTGAGTTCTTACTAGTAGTAAAAAAAAAAAAAAAAAAAAAATTATAAAAAAAAAAAAAAAAAAAAAAAAAAAAAACAAACCAAAAAAACCAAAAACCAAAAAAAAATCCAGCTTGCACATAACAGCACATTCACGCAGCCTCTCAGAAAATCACAATCATTTTTATATGTAAATAGTCAAATGTATTGCTGCTCTTCCAGTTTTAGCCAGGCAAATAAATGCAAGACATTGGGCAGTTTTCAATATACAGAGAGAAGTTAGGATAACAACTTTGGGACATTATTTTCCCCACAGGAATAGCTGAAAAGCAGCTCAGTTTCATTTGCCAGTTAAGACCTTGCTCTAGAAATATCATTTAACGGACATGCTTCAGTAGATGTGGAAGCTTAAGCATGTATTTAAATTACCCTAAAGCTACCAGTTTTCTCAAAAGTTGTACTCAATAGAGATATTTTCTAGGTCTCATACTGCAGACTGTTTGCCCACCAAACAGTCAGGATGATTAGGAAGTTGGGAAATGGGCACCTGTTATGGCAGGAAAGTGCCAGAAAAGACAGTGTTTGCTTTAAACACATTTCTTCTTTGGCAGGCTTATCACCACACTCTTGATGACCTAGAGATTTTAGATATCTGTCTTAAAAAACTACATTTTTTATTAGGCATTGGGTGCAGCCTAAATTTAATAAATTCCCAGCTTCAGTGTGATTTAGTTAACCGTGCACTTCTACTCCTTGGTCTGTAATACTGCGAACAGCAAATTCCTCAGCACCTCCCAAGCCATACATAGTCTCAGGAATTTGTTTGCTAAGTGCATTTCCTAAGGAGAGCAAAGGTGCACAGTTAAAATCCATAGGTTATTTTAGTGTGGCTTCTACCAACTGCCTGCAAAACCTCTGTGCATCGAACCTGTAATCCATCAGCCCAGTGTTACTGTAGCTTGGACTGCAGCCAACCAGCAGCATGAGAACCATGGCTCCTTCACAAAGCAGTAAAAATGAAGTACTTACAAATAAGCAAATTGTATGAGAGAGCATTTCTGTGGATGGGACTATGACCCCTGCTGCTCTCCAAGGCTGCTTCCCAAACACAAAGCATCCTTACAAGGCTTTGTTATTTGTAAACACTCTGTAGAAACACATGGAGGAAGACACTGTTTTAGAACAACTGTTATCTGTTGTCTTTTGAAAAAGAATGCGAGTGGCATGCACCAAATAATTCACTTCTGTTTGGGGGTTGGTTTTTTCATGGTTACAGCGATGACTCCAACTACACATTGTGGTCAGCGGAGAGGAAGATGCACCCCTTTGCAACAGATTACGGAAGCTCTCCCTACAGCTACTCAACCATTTTTGATGACAGCGAAACAGCCGGCTTTGACTTTGAGTATGACTTTTGTCAGCCTAAAGTCCTCACGTGCACTCCGGAACCAGATGCCTTTAATCCCTGTGAAGACATCCTGGGATACAGCTTCCTCAGAGTGCTGATCTGGTTTATAAACATCCTCGCCATTGCCGGCAATTTCACCGTGCTCCTCGTTCTCCTGACCAGCCACTACAAGCTCACCGTCCCTCGCTTCCTCATGTGCAACCTGTCCTTCGCCGACTTCTGCATGGGGCTGTACCTGCTGCTCATCGCCTCCGTGGACGCGCAGACCAGCGGTCAGTACTACAACCACGCCATTGACTGGCAGACGGGCAGCGGCTGCAGCACGGCCGGCTTCTTCACGGTGTTCGCCAGCGAGCTCTCGGTGTACACGCTGACGGTGATCACCGTGGAGCGCTGGCACACCATCACCTACGCCATGCAGCTGGACCGCAAGATGCGGCTGCGGCACGCCGTGCCCATCATGCTCGGGGGCTGGCTCTTCTCCATCGGGATAGCCGTGCTGCCTCTCTTCGGGGTCAGCAGCTACATGAAGGTCAGCATCTGTTTGCCCATGGATATCGAAACAGGCCTGTCCCAAGCCTACATCCTGCTGATCTTGGTGCTGAATGTTGTCGCCTTCATTGTCATTTGTGCTTGCTACATCAAGATTTACATCGCTGTGCAGAACCCGGAGCTGGTAGCTGCCAACAAAGACACCAAGGTCGCCAAGAGAATGGCAATACTGATCTTCACGGATTTCACCTGCATGGCCCCCATCTCCTTTTTTGCCATATCTGCTGCCTTCAAAGTTCCTCTCATCACAGTGACCAACTCCAAGATCCTGCTGGTTTTATTTTACCCCGTCAACTCCTGCGCAAATCCCTTTCTTTACGCAATTTTCACCAAAGCATTTCGGAGGGATTTCTTTCTGCTGATGAGCAAGCTTGGCTGCTGCAAGAGCCGAGCAGAGCTCTACAGGATGAATTATTTCTCTGCTTATAACTCCAACTGCAGGAATGGCGGCGCAGCCACAGCCCCCGCCAAAGCCTCCCAAGCACTCCTGCTCTTGTCAGCCTTAGAGAAGCCCTATCCTGCACCACGAGACAAGACATCTCACAAGGAAAATTTATCCAGAGTGCCAAGTTACCCTTTGCAAGGCCAGTTATGATTATCTTAGTGACTAGGGATTGTTTTACAGTATCTTGAACATTTCATAATAAATAAAAATGCCAGTCAGTAATTCTTATGCAACATAACTGTTCTGACATTCAAAGTGGCGTTTTCCCTTCTCTTTCTTTGTGATTATTGGTGTGGAAGGTGGCTATTAGGCAAAACTTTTCTCTATGGGGAACCAGAAGAGTCCAGGAGTAGTTAAGTTGCTCTTGAAGCTAATAGCTACTGCAGTGATTGCAGCCTGGCTTCTTTTTCTCCAGATCTGCTTCCCTGGAGTATTTAAAGCCTGTTTGCTGCCTTTCATGGCTTCTTTTTTCATTCCTATCAGCTGTGCTGGCACTGTTGGTTTAAAGAAAGAGGCACTAAACTAGATGCCTCCATTTCATCAACAGAAACTTCCAATTACACAGCCACCTACACATAGCTAAAGAAGAGTGTTGAAGCGATAGACTGTAAAGATGTCACCAAGGAGGGAAGTTGATCTATTGAACCTTTGTCACTGGTAATTTTGCAGTTTACATTAGATCTCAGTCTGAGCTGGTGGATAGTTTACTTAAATTATTAACCCAAACACAGCCATGTGATCTGGAAATCACAAGAGATGCAAAACCCCCTCTGCTGCACACAGGACACAATTTAGGGTATCACATGTGCATACACACAAATCAGGAAAACTGTAAAGGGTCTCTCCGGCAGCAGTAGCGCTGTTTCCTGCACAGGCAAGGAACCGCTGCCTTCTTTTCCCTCCTGGGACAGTCTCAGGAACAATTTCCACCTGTCCACTCTCTGACATTGCCAGTGGCATTCAGGAATGCACCAGGGCCTCTTCAGCACACACAGTCCACCTCTATTCCCAGGTGATGAAGCAGAGTAATTACCTTTTTGTGACAACGTTTTCCCATTAAAGTCTCTTTTCTTTCACTATGCATTGCCTGATGCTAAGTGATCATGCTAAATGCCTGGTCCAGATTTGTGACTGCACTGCTAATTTAAGTAAGTGCAGCATCTGATACATAAGAGAATGGTACTATTGCAATCACTTTAAACCTTTTACATTCTCCTTTTCATCTGAGTCCTTTGCTTTCAAGTCTGTGACAGCAACTGAGTTCCAAAGCACTCCTCTTGTTGCCAAAACACGACACCACAAGCTAAATTTGCTTCACATTAATGAAAGCAATTCTTTATACTAGTGACTGGTCTATCATTAGTTCATAATTGTGGTAATTATAAATAACATCTCTGACCCACTCTTACCTTCAGCATAATGCCATGATTTCAATCATACAAAAGCTCTTGATGTAAGCACAGCTGTGCTCACGAGCAGTTCCACAGGTGGGCAAGGAAGCAGGATTGAGAACAGAGAAGACTCTTTAAAACTCTGTGGTTTAGCAATCAATACAAATTCCACTTGATGCATTCTTTACACACACCAGCCCCTGAGCTTAGCTAATAATCAAATAGGACTGTAATAAGATATCTAACTATAATACAGTTAAAGCTACTGGTGTAAAAAAATAGCTACTGGGCCTAAAACTTCTCTGTCACTTATCTCAAAAGTGATTTTTGAGACTCATTTTGTCTGTCATCCCACAGAAAAGGCCTGCACATAATTTAGGACATGACAGCACAGTATCTTAACTGAGCCACAACTGATTACTTGCATTATGTTTCAACAGGACAAGAGCTTGCCAGCACACCCTCCCCACCACATAACATGGTCAGGAAACTACAGGCAAGGGAGATGAGTCAGAATTAACAACAAGTGATGGCACCTGCCCTACAGAGCTGCAGATGTAACAGCCAAGCAGCAAGTGAGTCTCTGCAGGCATTTTTCTCTTTGTACCTGCTGCAAGTGCAGTGAAATCCACCATTTACAAAATTGCTGTTCTAAAAAAAAAATCCACTGACAAAACATCAAATGTAATTTATATACTTAAAATTTGTCTATGCACAAAAGTAAGCAAGTAAGTAAAACTTTAGTAAGAGATTTAGATTCATGACAGAGCTTCTCATACAAGTTACACTTGTTATACTATCTCATTATTTTTACTTTACCTTCTTTCTGGTGTAAAGTTTTAGAAAGCCATTTACTGAAGTATCTTTGAAGGCCATAACTGGCATTACACACCTCATCCTGTCACATCTGCAGCAATATGTTTGCTAAACTGTAGGTAGGAGCAATCAAAAACATTAATTCATAAACTATTTAGATCAGAAGTACTGATTACTGTTCAAGTCATAGGCTAGATCTTACATTTTAATAAGAAACATTTATTTTCATTATAAAAACTCCTGACTTCAGGCGTATTTAGTTGTAAATGTCTTGTTCAAAGCTGTATTTCTTTATTAATGTTACCTTTAAAACTAGCTAAAAACTAAGTGCTCTTTAGCAACTTTATTTTATAGTGACCAGGAAAAACAGGTCAAATTCAGAAGCACTATTCAGAGCCTTTGTGGTGCTAAGTGAATGGTACATATCCAGTCCTGTCCCATAGATTCCTGTACCACACTACCTCTGCTCCCAGTCTTTTCTGACATTGGAAATGGTCCCACAGTTCACAATGTGCACATTTACAGAGCATGAGCACCTCAGAGCCTGTGAGAGAGTACTGAAACCTAAAAGCATTTATCATGTGGTAAGAGCTGCATTTTTTGTGCATTTATGGGTCTGAAGTGTAGCATCAGTGCAGCTACAAGTCATCTGAATGGGGAAAAAGAAATCATACACTGGAATATTTTAACTGCCTCTGAACAGTCACTTCTTCACATTCCAGCACCAGCATCTATAAAAGACAAAGGGAACATCACACTTGGTTCAAGTGCTCTAGTTCAGTGTCCTGTCTTTGACATTGGAGAGTAGCAGATGCATCAAAAAATAAACATGTAATGGACTCAATTTTTAAAGAGCTACTTCCTGCCTTATGGCATTAGCACAAGGGTTGCCACCATTATGAACAAGGGCTTGTGGTTTTCCCTTCATTTCTTCCACACATTCATTTTCTCCCACTCTTTCCCTTCTCCCAGCCTCTGCACCCTGTCAGGAATTAGTGATAATCAAAATGCCTCAAAATGTCTCATATTCCAGCAGACATGGGAGCAGCAGCCAAGGGGGAGGTGTGCTTTAGTGTAGCACTGCCCTTCCACAGCAGGATGATCCTGTTCTGAGGCAGCCTGGCTGCAGCTTTACCATGGAATTGCCCTACAAGGAATAGGAGCCAGCCAGGGAAAAGCTGCAGCTCCGAAAGACAAGGGCCCAAAGCTTCTTTTGGACCTTTATTTCTAGAAAAACTAACAAAAAGTTGATGTTGGGAGGAATGCAGTTCTCATGATAGGGTGAGCTACTGCCATGTGCATGGCTTTGGACCCATTTCTCTAAGCAGAGTTTATATTGAGGGAACACAAAAACATCTCTGTATATGAGACAACACTTTTATTATTAGGCAAAATTTGTATAATTCACATCTTACTGGCCTGTAATCCTAGAACAATATGGAAATGTAGAGCAGCAAAGTTAAATGACTTTGCATTGACAGTGAAAATAAATCACATTTTAATGTTACATCACACTATTCATTGCATCTCAGTAGACATAGCTGGTATAGAATAAACAACAGTAATTCTCATATATTGAGAGGTCCAGGATCTTTCCCAGTAATTTCCCTTATTGCATCTATAGTGCATGTATTTAAAATAAAGTCCAAAAAACAAAAAGCAACTAAAAAGTCAAGAGAAGTGTGCAGCTGAAACAGCTACATGTTTCAGACTTGCAAAGGTATTGCTTTTTTTTCAACTCAAGTGTCTTTGAAAAGACAACATGTAATTTTATACTTCAAGTCATACCTCAGCTTTTAAGAACTGGGGAAAAAATAACAGAACAAAACATAACTAAAACTTATTTGATTATAATCAATAAGTCGTTCTTTACTAACTACTAAATATTTCTTTACCTTCTTGAATTATGATATAACATTTCAAACTTTAAAGCTATTCATTCCAATGATGCTTCTTCATTGAAAAAAATTTTAAAATCAGAAAAGAACAGCAAAGACAGCTAAGTAGCTAACAGTACAGTGGTTTAGTTTGCAAACTGAACAGCTTAACACCACAAACTAACAACACAGATTTTGCATATTTTTTTTTCATCACAGCTTTGTTGTTTTGGGGTTTGGTTTTTTTTGGGTTTTTTGGGTTTTTCCCATGGCACAACAATAGAAAGTCCAATTGTTTCACAGAAGGCTTATAAGGAAATAATGCCACAACCGTCAAGGACATACTGGAGTGAAGTTTCACCACTCTGCATCTCCAGTGGCTTTTGAAAAAACATGGTCTTTACCTTCAATGGACATCACTCCATCTTTTAAGTAGAACTTCCATTTGTTCTTAGATCGATGTATCTGATGAAAAATAATAATCAAAATTAATGAAACCACACATATATATTAGACCAGTTATTTTAAAAAAACAACAAGATTCAAGCACAACCTGTTTTACACACCTGGGTTTTATTTGAAAATCCTTATGGCCCAAAATATTCAATGGAATATTCAATGGAAGCATTATACTTCCATTGTTTATAAGGAACTCCCTGCTCCCCCAAGAGAGAAACCTCCTGAATCTTATCCCATCCTGTCCCACTCTGCTATCCCACAACTTCCCCCTAAAAACTGTTACCTATGACAGCTCAACACCAGCAGGACAAGAGAACAGTAACAGGGCAATCCCAAAACACAGAACACTTTGCAAACCAGAGTACCTTAACTAAAATGCAATGTTCTCCTTTTCACATGGCAAAGCAATGTTGCATGCACAGAGGTGCTAGGAATAGGCTAAAAGCATCAAAACTTGGCTTAAAAGCAACTACTGCTATTAAAAAAAAAAAAAAGAAAGAATTTGCATATTCTGTTCCTTTTTAAATGCCTGCAAAGAGATCCATACTCCAGAAAGTTTTCTTTAATACTAAAAGAAGGAATTTTAAATATCCATAGAAAATTCCTCAAACTGACAGCATCAATTTTCTATTCCAGAAAGAAAAGAGACAGGACAGCAATTTTACCAACAACATTGTCTTAAAGGTAACAAGGAAATTTAAGA